CCCTTCCCTCTTCTTCATATTTCTCTCCCTGCTTTTATTTTCCTCATCTGCAAATATTGTATCAGTCTTCTGTAAGGAGTAGCCATATGAGCAAAATGATCCAGCACAGAGCATTCCCTTAATAAATAGGTACCATTATTACTACCAGGAGCTCTGGTAGCATAATGGCTAAAGCACTTGACTGCTAACCAGAAGGCCGACTTGACGGCACATAACAACAACAACAACAATTATTACTACCAGGAGCTCTGGTAGCATAGTGCCTAAGGCACTTGACTGCTAACCAGAAGGCTGGCAGTTCAAACCCATCAGCCACTCCTTGGAAGGAAGACTGGGCAATCTACTTCCGTAGAGACACTGCCTCAGCAACCCAAGGAGGGGTCACTATGAGTCGGGGCCGACTCTATGGCACATAACAACAACAACAATTATTACTACCATTAATGTTACTATGTTTGCTAGATGTCATATGAAATTGACTAAAGCAAATATTAGCTATTTCAAAAGCATCAGTTTGCCTTCTTTTTCATTAAAATTCATTAAATCCTAAAGGCAAAAAAAAAAAAAAAATCATTATTTGGCTATAATTTTCTACTGAATCTTGACAGTATATGAAAGCCATCCTAGAGCAACCTGAGAATGAGACTTAAGAGTCAGCTCCTGCTTCTCTTCCGCTGGCACATGGATTTCTCTGGAGAGCCCTTCAGTAATTATGAGAGGAAAACAATCTCCAAATGATTCCTTCCTTCCCTCATCTGTTGTCTTGTATCTGTCTAGGGGTCAGGGCTTTTAAATAATTAGGCTACCAGGAGACTGTCCCCTGCTCTTCTCTCTAAGTAACCATGCTTGTTCCCTGTGCATTCCTCAAAAAAGGCCATTGAAGGATAAAAAGCATGAAGCCCCATGTGTTATTGGCAGAGCTTATTTTAAACTTCACTTGAATTTTTAAATTGCTATATTTATTTTGCCTTCTTGTGAAAAAAAAATGTATTTATTTTGTAGATAATTGGGCTTCCATCAAATTGTGCTGCAAAAAAACAATTGAGATTTTAGTTTGAGTTCTAATGACTTATCCTAAACATTTTGTGTGTATTGCTCTGAACTTTTTTTAATTGTCATCATCAATAAACAACTAAATCTGCAAAAAGAACCCCACATTTGTTTTCATAAAATTCCCAAGTAATCTTGTGAACTAGTTTACTATGTTACAAATGAGAAAGGTTGCTATACAGTGAGCCAGGGAATCTCAAGCTCTGTGAAGATGGATAATTAGAACATAATTTTAAGTTGCTTAAGGTCCTTGGGGAAAAAGGACAAGTTACCATTGAGGATGATTTTGTAAGCATGTCATTGTGGATTAAACTATTATGTCCACTTAATCCTTAAGATGCTGAGCCAGAAAAAAGAAAATCATTGTTTTAGCTCAAGGGTCACATATAGTGAGTGATTCTTCTTTATTCGGGTTCAATAAAAAGTGATTGCAGGAGGGCTTCCTTCAGAATCAATAGGAAAGGCTGAAAAGAACTGGTATTTTCAGAACTCAAAACCATACATATCCTTCAAGGCCTACAAACTCCTCAGCTCTGAAGACATTTCTGGTCTTCTCTACCCTTTTGTGCTTCTTGTTTCTCTGTTTCTAGCAACATATTTCAAAACAAGAACAGGAATGTTTCTTTGTTCTCCCTATGGGGGCAGGAGGGCGGTAGAAATCAAGACGGTTAAGTACTATATCTTCGAATTCTAGATTACTAGATACTATAGGAGATGAAGGAGCTCTGGTAGTGTAGTACCTAAGACACCTGACTGCTAACCAGAGGCTGGTGGTTCAAACTCACCAGCCACTCCTTGGAAAGAAGGTTGGGCAATCTACTTCTGTAGTGATACTGCCCTGGAAACCCAAAGAGGTATTGCTATGAGTCAGGTACGACTTGACAGCACATAATAACAACAACAGCAACATGAGATGAAAAAATAATCAGCTGTCTCTGTGCTTAAAAGATTATGAAACTTAAAATGGGACATGGAGAGGGGGTAGGAAGAATAGTTTAGCAAAGCTGAAGGTGTGGGGATTGGGAAGAAATGAGAATTAAATGAGAATTAAAATATACACTTCTACCCATCCAGACACATTTTTCTCAATTTTTGTTGATTACTGTTTAAATACAGAATTTTTCACTGTGATGACCAAAGATAACAAACAACAAACACCCTCAGATTGTGTAGCAGATATTTGTGTTGTAAAAAACATAGGGACTGTAAATCAATGAGGTCCAGGATGGGTAAAATGATAGATTGGGATCTGAAAATAAAGGTTCTAGATTCAGTTATACAACTGAATTTCTCTGGGACTTCCCAGAAAGTAAGCATTTGTTTGATTGTTTTTTTCTCCTAACCTTTAAATGATGAATAATATATATTTAATATATTTTTTATTTTAATTTTTAAAATTATATGTCATTTGCCCTCCATAGAAATAGTTGTTGTTGTTATGTGCTTTCGAGTCAGACCTGACTCATAGTGACCCCTCCTTGGGTTTCCGAGGCAGTATCACTACAGAAGTAGATTCCCCAATCTTCTTTCCGAGGAGTGGCTGGTGGGTTTGAACTGCCAGCCTTCTGGTTAGCAGTCAAGTGCCTTAGGCACTACGCTACCAGAGCTCCTAAAGTACTTTGAAATCTGTCCAAAAAAATAGAAAGATTAATAGTTATTTTCTTTTCTTTTAAGTTTATCTTAAACCAGTTCTCTTTCTAAAGCTAGTTAAAAACAAATCTCTTAGAAAATTTGAAATAGGATGTCTTAAAATTATTTCTTTTGTGCAGATTTTACTTTGCACACAGCTGACTTTTCTGGCTTGTTCTTATTCAGGTATCTGAGGGTCAGGTGAAAGAGCTAGGTTCGTCCGTCATCAATGCTGCTGATTTGGATGTTCCTAAGGACCCCTTGCTGTTCACCATCACTCATGAACCTCGCCATGGCCTCCTCATCACTGTGTTTAGTGAAGACCTCCCTCTGTATAAGCAGCTAGCAAACCCTGACCAGAAGCATCAACTTGTTCACAACTTCTCCATGGAACTGTTCAAGACTGGTATATCATATTCTTCTTCTATTCATTTGTTGTTGTTGATTTAATAATTTAACCCAGAATATATGATAATAAATCACAGAAATGGGGGGGGGAGAAATAGCATTCATATACTTCATTCATTTACCACTTAAGGTTTTCCTCTGGGTTCTGGATTAATATGGGGCATGAGGTCCCAGCTAGAGACAGTGGGAAATGGAAAAGTAAATAACATGTTTTATTTCATTTGTAGAATCTCATTAAAGATACTTATGATTGTTCAGATTTTAGCTCATGCTTTTAATCCTTTTTTAAACTATTGAGATCATGGAAATGAGTCTTAAAAGACTTGTCTGCCAAAATTTCTACTTTTGAAACAAATGTAGAACCACACACAATAACTCATTATTCTTGAGGAGAAAATTTGCTCTTTGGGGAAATGACACATTGGGATAACAGGCTGAAATATTTTTTTAATTATTTTTTTTAAACTGATCTCATTCCATTTTTCCATATGTAAAATTTTTTTTTTTTTTTAATTTGAGAACAGTATGCAGTTATAGAATCACTGTCTATCCTCATTTTTCTTCCTGCCTCTATGTGTTCTGTTTCCTCAGCCTGGAATGTCCTTCTCCCTTCTTTGCTGGTTTGGCCAGTCCTCCTCTTTAGAGCCCAGCTTGTTGACCTCCTTGGAGCCCACCCAGATTTCCCAAGCCATTCCTCCCTTGTGCTTGCTTTATCTTTAATACTTGTTCTAATTTTTTCATACTGCTTTTAAATTATTTTTCCCCAACTACAGTGTAAGCTCCACCACTTGTCAGTTTGTCGTATGGTGGTGGCTTGCATGTTGCTGTGAGGCTGGAGGCTATGCCACCACTATTTCAAATGCCAGCAGGGTCACCCATGGTGAATAGGTTTCAGGGGAGCTTCCAGACTAAGACAGACTCTGAAGAAGGAAGGAGTCATCCACTTCTCAAAGAACTGACCAGTGAAAACCTTATGAATAACAGTGAAATACTGTGTGATATATTACTGGAAAACATTATGAAGATTGATAAAGCGTCTGCAACAGTGGGCTCAGGTATAGCAAGCATCGTGAGGCTGGTGTAGGACAGGGCAGTGTTTCGTTCCGTTGTACACAGGGTCACTATGAGTCAGAGCTGCTCGATGGCACCTAATGACAACACTGTAAGCTCTCTGCCCCAAAGTTTGTTGTACAACACTCTCTCACATGTGAATCTGAAAACTAATTCCTATATTTCTCAGTTTGTACAATTTGAAAAGAAATAATCCTGAAGTTGAAATGACAATATTATTATCAAGTCAAAAACAATGTGTAGCAAAAGATCAAGTCAATAACAGCATGTAGCAAAAATTGAATGGGTTGTTACAAATATGAGTTGTTTTTAAAATTCTAAGACAACATAAAAAGAAGTTATAATTCAAATTTTATATTCAATATCAGTTTTTTTTAAAAAAATAAGATTTATTCATTGTTTTGGGGTTAATGAGTACTATATACTCATTTTATAAAATTCGGACTATATGGTTATTTAAGAGAAAAATAAAACTCAGGCATAAATAATATTTTGTTTAATATTTTAGTAAAATTCTCAGAGATTAGATCTTCACTTCTCCTTTAGGTTCCTATATGACTAGTGTTATAAATACTACTTCATGCTTTTGTATGTGTTCATACACCACATAGACTCAAACATATGGAACCTACTACTACCACATTAGGAGCTCTGGTAGCATAGTGCCTAAGGCATTTGACTGCTAACCAAGAAGGCTGGTGGTTCAAAACCACCAGGCACTCCTCAGAAGGAAGGTTGGGCAATCTACTTCAATAATGTTACCACCTTGGAAACCCAAGGAGGACTCACAATGGTTTTTTGCTACCATATTATATAATCAGTTTTCTTCTTATCAGTTATTATAAGCATCTTCTCAGATTTTAATTGTTAGTTGAAAATATGTTTTTTTTTATATAACTCTAAGCCATTTTATTGTATGGGTGTATTTCAATGTAATATTATACAATTATCTCCTATTTTCAAATATCAATGTAGCTTTTCATTTCCTACTATTTATTATAAGTTACATAATAAATAAATGCCTTTTGTGTAAATCTTGGTATATATCTCTCAATATGTTTTTTTGATAATTTTTTTTAGTTAGATCACTTGGCAAAAGAAATGTAATTTTTTAAAGGCATTTTTGGAAAACACTGTCATTGCTATTCTGTGTATGAGCCCACCTGTTTTTCTAACCAGTGGTGGAAGATACAATTCTTTAAAACGTTTGAGAATTTGATAGCTAATGGGATCTCCTTGTTACCTTGATTTGAAATTCTTAGATTATAATTGAGATTGAACATATTTTCATGTTTATTTAGTATTTATATTTTAACATTTGTGAATTGACTGTTTATGTTCTTTCCCCATTTTTCCATTGTGATATGATTATTCATATTGATTTATAAGAGATCTCAGCATATTAATAGCTTTGTCACTTACGTTACAAGTTAGCTTTTACATTTTTTTTTGCCTTTAATTCATTTTAAATACAGAAATTAAAAACCATAAGTAGTAAAATTTATTATTTCACTTTCACTTTCTTCTTTTGTTTTTATATTTAGAAAGAACTTTTTTTATATCCAGAGATAAAATATGTACTTCTATTTTCTTAAGTTTTTTCAAACAACTTTATTGAGATATAATTTACATGCCGTAAAATTCACCCATTAAACTACATAAGACAGCGTTTTGCAGAATATTCACAAAATTATATAACCACTAGCATAATCAATTTTAACATTTTTATCATCCTGAAAGAAACCATTAGCAGCCACTCCTATTTCCCCTCCTCTCAGTGCCTGAGAATCACTAATTCACCTTCTGTCTTTGTGGCATTGCCCATTCTGCATATTTCATATAAATGGAACAGGTGGTTTTTTGTGACAGGTTTCATCCACTTAGCAGAATGTTTTCAAGGTCCATCCATGCTGTAGCATGAGTCACTACGGGCTGAATAATATTCCATTGTATGGGTATAGCACATTTTATCATTTACTCATTTTTCAGTTGATAGACAGTTGGGTTGCTTCCACTTTCTGACTTTTATGAATCATACTTCTAAGAACAACCATGTACAAGTTTGTATATAGATATATACTTTCATTTATCTTGGGTATAAGGCAAAGAATACTAGAAAGATGTTTACTTGTGCTTTATTGACTATGCAAAGGCATTTGATTGTGTGGATCATGACAAATTATAGATAACATTGAGAAGAATGGGAATTCCTGAACACTTGATTGTACTCATGAGGAACCTGTACCTTGACCAGGAGGCTGTTGTTCGAATAAAACAAGGGGACACTGCATGGTTTAAAATCAGGAAGGTAGTGCATCAGGGTTGTATCCTTTCCCCATACTTATTCAATCTATATGCTGAGCAAATAATCCAAGAAGCTTGACTATATGAAGAAAAACATGGCATCAGGATTGGAGGAAGAATCATTAACAACCTGAGATATGTTGATGACACAACTTTGCTTGCTGAAAGTGAGGATGACTTGAGACACTTACTGATAAAGACTGAGGAACACACTCTGCATTATGGATTACCTCTCGATACAAAGAAGACAAAAATCCTCACAACTGGACCAATAAGCAGCATCATGATAAATGGAGAAAAGATTGAGGTTGTCAAGGCGTTCATGTTGCTTGGTTCTACAATTGATGCCAATGGAAGCAGCAGTCAGGACATTAGACGACGTGTAGCACTGGGAAGGTCAGCTGCGAAGGAACTGTTTCAAGTGCTGAGGAGCAAGGATGTCTCCTTGAGGACTAAGGTGCGCCTGACACAGGCCATGATATTTCCAGTCACTTCATATGCATGTGAGACCTGGACAATGAATAAGGAAGACTGAAGAAGAGTTGATGCTTTTGAGTTGTGGTGCTGGCAAGGAATGCTGAAGGTACCATGGACTGCCAAAAGAACTAACAGATCTGTCCTGGAGGAAGTGCAGCTGAGATGCTCCTTGGAAGCGAGGATGGCCAGACTTCGTCTCACCTACTTGGGTCATGTTATTAGAAGCAACCATTCCCTGGAGAAGGATGTCATGCTTGGTAATGTGGAGGGTCGACAAAATAGGGGAAGGCCTTCAATGAGATGGATTGACATGGTGGCTGTGACAATGGGCTCAAGTATAGCAAGGATCATGGCGCTGGTGCGGGATCAGGCGGTGCTTCGTTCTGCTGTGCATGGGGTCACTATGAGTCGGAAGGGACTCAACAGCACCTAACAACAACAACATCTTGGGTATATACCAGGGAGTGGAATTGCTGAGTCATATGGTATCTAACATTTTGAGGAACTACCAAACTGTTTTCCAAGGCAGTTGCACCATTTCACATTCCCACCAACATTGTTGTTGTTGTCAGGTGTTGTTGAGTCAGTTTTAACTCATAGCAACCCTATGTACAACAGAACAAAATACTGCCTGGTCCTGCGTCATCATCACAATCATTGCCATGCTTGAGCCTGTCATCATAGCTACTGTGTAAATCCATCTGATTGAGGTCTTCCCCTTTTTTACTGACCCTCTCCTTTATCTAGCATGATATCCTTCTCCAGGGACTGGCCCATTCTGACAACATGACCAGAGCATGAGAAATGAGATCTGACCATTCTTGCTTCTAGGGAGCATTCTGGCTATCCTTCCTCCAAGACAGATTTGTTCATTCTTCTAGTAATCCATGAGTACATTCAATACTCTTTGCCCACATCACAATTCAAAAAATGCATCAATTCTTCTGTGGTCTTCCTTATTCATTGTCCAGCTATCACATGCATATGAGACTATTGAAAATACCATGGCTTAGTCCTCAAGGTGACATCTTTGCTCTTAAACATTCTGAAGAGGTCTTTTGTAGCAGCTTTGCCCAATACAATATGTCATTTGAATTCTTGACTGTTGCTTCCATATGCATTGATTGTGGATATGAGTAAAATGAAATCCTTGACAATTTCAATCTTTTCTCCATTTATCATAATGTTGCTTATTGGTCCAGGTATGAAGATTTTTTACTTTCTTTATGTTGAGATGTAACCCATACTGAAAGCTGTGGGTTTTGATCTTCATCAGTAAGTGCTTCGAGTCCTCTTCACTTTCAGCAAGCAAGGCTGTGTCATCTGCATATTGCATGTTGTTAATAGTTCTTTCTCCAATCTTGATACTGAGTTTTTCTTCATATAGTCCAGCTTCTTGGATTATTCCTCAGCATACAGATTGAGTAAGTATGGTGAAAAGATACAACTCTGACACACACGTTTCCTGATTTTAAACCACGCAGTTTCCCCTTGTTCCATTCGAATGACAGCCTCTTGGTCTATGTACAGGTTCCTCACGAGCCAAGTTAAGTGTTCCAGAATTCCCATTCTTCACAGTGTTAATTTGCTATGATCCGCCAACAATGTATTAGAGTTCCAATTTCTCTACCTCCTTGCTAACATTTTATATTGTCTTTTAAAATTGTAGCTATCCAATTGGGCAATAAATGATATAATGGTTTTGATTTGCAATTCCCTAATAACTAATGAACATCTTTTTATGGCTAATTGGCTATTTTCATACATTTTTATATCTTCTTTAGAGCAGTGTCTATTCAAGTCTTTACCTCTTTTGAAATTATTTGTCTTTTTATTATTGAGCTGTGAGAGTTCTAGACCTTATCAAATATATAATTTTCAAATGTTTTTCTCTGTTCTGTGACATGTGTTGGGTTGGTTCAATCATAAAAAGATTTACTTACTTTCTTTCACTTTTTCCTTCTTCTAGGAATGAGGTTGCTGTATGTGCATGATGATTCTGAGACTCTCGCTGATGACTTCACAATCCAGTTGTCAGATGGGAAACATAAAATAATTAAAACCATTTCAGTAGAGGTCACTCCGGTTAATGATCAGAAACCAATGCTGAGCAAGTAAGCTACCTGAAGAGTCCCTTGTCAGATTTTCTATAAAATTCTATGAGGTCTGGAATGTTAGGTGCAAATGCATTGTGTGCCCCAGAGAGAAATGAGTCTTCTGCAACTCCCATCTGTCACAATTTATCTCACCCACTTTGGGTATCTAGAAACTTTGGTGCAAATGTCAGTGTAACCTCTCCTGAACAATTCTCAAATTAGCTCAGTAATTATTTGATTGTATTTTAAAAGTTCTATTTAGTTGTGAATGAATAAGCTCACTCTAGGTGAACTACCAGCCTTCTGGTTAGTAGTCAAATGCCTTAGGCACTATGCTACCAGAGTTACCAGAGGTAAAAGAGACTGAACTGAGGTATCTGGGCTTTGGTTTCTTGATGCCAAGTGGTGTCATTCAAATGTCTTTTATCTGAATTCCAAGGAAATTTAGTTTGAAGCTTTCTCAAACACAAAACTATCAACAGTAGGATGACCACACATGAGCTGGAAACACTGGTGGTAGAGGCTCCCTCCTCACTTTGGTAAGGCCAGGGAAAATGGCTATATAGGCTGTGAAAATAGCAATGGTTATAGAGGGCCTACAAAAACCACAGCAGTTGGTAGGAGCAGCAGCTGTCTGTTCTAGTCCCGTTGTCAGTGAGTCAGTTCTGATTCACAGTGACTCCATGTGTGTCAGGGTGGAACTGTACTCCATAGGGTTTTCAGTGGCTAATTGTTGGAAGTAGATTGCCAGGCCTTTCTTCTGAGGTACAGCTGGATTGACTCAAACCTCCAACTTTTCTGTTGGCTGCCAAATTCACTAATAATTTATACCATCCAGGATTTCCAGGTACTTGCTATCCCAGCCCATTTTCCAAGATGCCAAGGGCTAATGAGACAACTTTAGCACCAAGAAAATATGAATCACTGTCAAGAGAAGACAAGCTACTCAGAACACTAGTAGGAAGAGAGGTAGTAGAGGGCTAGAGAAGATCTTAAACATCACCAGACTCGGGATAGCATATCATAAAGGGACATGGAATAAGTTATTTAATCTCTTTAAGTAAGTTTCTGTCTGTAAAATTTGGACAATAATACCTAGTCTACTTACTTCATGGAGCTGTTGTGAGTATCAAATAAAATAGTGTGAACAAAATCACTTTGTAAAATTAATTATAAACCTTGTAAAATTATAGTGTTCTATAACGTAAGCAATTGTTGTTAGGTATACTATTGAATTGATTTTCAACTCATCGGGACCCTATGTGACAGAGTAGAACTGCCTCATAGTGTTTTCTAGGCTGTAATCTTCACAGGAGGTAATCTTTATGTTAGATCTTTCTCCCATGAAGCTACTGGGTGGGTCCAAACCATTGTCTTTTTGGTTAGCATATGAGTACCATTGTCCTACCAACAGCTTCTTAATCTAAGCGATTGTTGTTGTGTTGTGTTCCATTGAGTCATAGTGCCCCATGTGACAGAGCAGAACTGCCCCGTTGGGATTTCTATACTGTAATCTTTATGGAAGAGATTGCCGGGTCTTTCTCTCATGCAGCCACTGTGTGAGTTCAAACTGCTGGCCTTTCGGTTAGCAACCAAGCACTTAACCATTTCACTACCAAATTAGAAGTATGTAATTACCTTATACCATTTTCATTGCTGCTGTCTCATTGCTTATTTGCACTTGGATGTGAAAAGTAAAATGAGAGCATATTTCACATGGATGACCCATTGTTTTCAGTGGTTTGAGTGTTGAATATCATCCCTTAGTTATTTGAGGTTGAGAAACTAATAGTCATTATAAGTGCTCTCTGCAATAATAATAACTTCTGTTTTCATATCAACTCAGTAATTTTCCTTTTTCCAGGAAAGCAGAAATTGTGATGAATATGGGTGAAACTCGTATTATTTCTAGTGCTGTTCTTTTAGCCACAGATGAAGACTCACCCAGGGAAAAGATTTACTATTTATTTGAAAGGCTTCCCCAAAATGGGGAACTTCAGCTTAAGGTTAGTGGCCTTTTCACTTTTATTTTTTGCAAGTATAACAGGTATATATTTTCTCACATACAAATTTCTATAACTGACTTTAGTCTCTAAAATCCACATTTTGCCCAGAAGTAGACATTTTAATTTTCCTTATTCAGGGTGAACTAATATCCTTTAAATTTTCTTAGTCAACTCAGGGTAAATTCAACCAATATTAAGGTTCTCCATTGTTTCTCACATCACACCCCAAGGAATATACCTAAATTCTGAGGAGTGGAAAGTTAGGGAAGAAAACAAATTGTCTGGTTTTACATGAGAACCCAGCATCCTTTGAAAACATCTGTTATTAAACTTCTTCAGGTTTACCAGTTCTCCCTCTCTCAGCTAAATTCCAGACCATACTTAAACACATGAAAAGTTTGATATTTTTTTTGCCTTCCTCTCATGCTGGAGACAACCCCCTCTGCCTTTAATTCCTCAGTGACCATCTCTGTCCCCTTGATATTAGGGGCAGCAGCCCCAGGGCAACTGCTCCCCCTGTCATTTGTTCTTGTTGCTATGTGCCATCGAGTTGGACCCGACTCATAGCGACCCCTCCTTGGGTTTCCGAGACAGTATCACTACAGAAGCAGATTGCCCCATCTTCCTTCCAAGGAGTGGCTGAACTAAGTGGGTTTGAACTGCCAGCCTTCTAGTTAGCAGTCAAGTGCCTTAGGCACTACCCAGAAATTATCTTAATATTACCACCTCCTGCCTTCTCAGAGAAACTGAGCAATGAGCAGCTTTCTTGTTTCCCTTCCAATTCTCATCTTCTGCCCATTGCAGGAGTAATTCTCTCTTCTCCAAGAACACAACTCACTCCGCAAATGGCCTACCAAATTGTTCTGTATTATATCTGAGACAAACTTAAAAGTCAAAGCTTGCTGCCTCTCTTCTCCATTCCCTCTTCCCTTTGGGGCACCAGAGACCTCATGTTAAGATTTAAATGGGCAAAATGTAAGGGTTGAGGGAAACTTCATGATGTCAGATTTTGCCATATTTGAATCCACTGAATTGCATTATGTAAAATATTAACATTCCTGGATTTGTGTGTGTTCTGGAAATTATTTGCTTTAGTGGAAAGCAAATAAGCGTGGAAGCATTAGTGATACTAGGGATAGAGACACCTGTGTTCTACTGATGACTCTTCCAACAGCTTGGTTTGTGTTCTGATAGCACCTCCTTGTTTCACTTCAGTCTGGAACAGCAAAATTTTGATCTGATTCAGACTATATGCTCGATGCCCAAGGATTAGACGAATGTAAATTACAGATCAGTCACTTGGGAAGATCACTTGAGTAATCAGTCAAAATGCTTATTTGAATGGTAGATTAAGACTAGCAACAACAACCACCAATCATCCCCAACATGATTATTTGATTAAACACTTAACTTTTAATCTAATGTAGACACAGTCCTAGGAAAAATGGCAAGGATTCATTCTGTGTGAAACAGCTTGATAGTCTTAGATTGTAGGTACCGTAGAGAATCAGAGTGAAGAGCAATCAGTGATTTGAATTGAGGTACAGTTGTATCCTTATTTCATTTCCAAAAGTAATGAAGAAGAAATGCAGTGAAATCTCATATGTAGGTAGCTTGGGAACTGAAATATTTTGGATATGTGAAAATCCAGATGGGCCCAGGTTCCCAGTATGGACCCACATAGTTCTCTCTCATCTCTCTGGGGGTTCCTCAAGTCTCTCCTAGACCAGGGATTAGGCCCTCAGTCCTCCTGAACTCTCTCAAGGGCACCTGTTTTCTTGTTGGCTTTCTTTAGCTTTCCTCACCTTGAGTCTGACTCTTATCTTTGGCCTCCTTTGGGCCTTCAAATGATTCTATCAAGTCAAAGTTCACATTTAGGGATGCAAGTTAAATAGAATTGCAGTCTGTCCAATTTAAAACCTGAAAGAGAATCTGTTTCTAAAATTATATTTGCAAATAGACCTTATGATGAAAACAAGCACTGAGCTTAAATTTTGCAATATAATTAATTTTCACCCAGTGAGCACTGGGGCAGAACATACCTGTCTCCAAATATCAGATAGCCAAAATTATTAAAGAACTGCACCATAGAATTTTCAAGAGTGTGACCTTTTATAAACAAATTATCAGGCCTTTCTTTTGAGCTGATTTTGGGTAGCTTTGAACTACCAACCTTTTGGTCTAGTTGTTGAGTGTTTAATTATTTGTACCACCCAGGGAAGCCAAATGACCTAATGGTAATACATTAGGGGAGGGGAGATGGCAAAGTTTCTTTACTAGGAAATGGGAATTTGTGGAAAAATGCATCAAGGTGAATAGAACATAAATTATTTAAATCTCAGTTTCTTAAGCCAGCCAGAAAAAGCACAAGAGAACATTATATAGTAAATTTTTAAGATGACATTTCTCTTGAATTATGTCAAATGATTTTTTATGACCTATTCTTAGGGAAAGTTCTGTATTTTAAGACTATAACATAGGATTATTAAACATACACAGATTGATGATTACATTTTCTAATACAATCTGTTTTCAGAATAAACCCGCTTCCAGGATCAGAATCTTTAACTGAAAACCTTTAACTCGACTTCTGCACTAAGTCCTGAATGGAATATACATTTAACAAATGTTGGCTTATTTCTAGAAGAGTCTACTAAAAAATAAGATGTGATATTTGCAGTTTATATTTTTGGCTGATTTAGTGTATAAATGTAGGGAGTGATAGGGATTTTTGAATATTTCTGAGGGGCTGTAGTAAGGCTGGGAGCAGATGCATCCATTCTATTTTGTATTAACTCCTTTAGATAAGCCAGGTAACAACTCAGTTTGAAAAAGTAGGTTTGATTAGTTGTATAATGACATGGGCTGAAAAAAAGAAACCCCAAAAGATACACGCTTAATTATTTTTTTTAAGAACCTTTTCCAGCAGCTAGATTACCCAGCTGCTCTCATTAATTGGAATATTTAATCAGCTATGATTGCTTATGGTAAATACTTTGGAAGTAGCAATACTGTTGAATTGCCACATGACAGTCAAAAATCCTTTTGGTTGAACCTAGTTTTTCCCCAAGGTCTTAAATTGTTTATGTATATATATGATGTATAGATGTATGTATACGTATACATGTTGTGTTGTTGTTGTTATGTGCCATCGAGTCAGACCCAACTCATAGTGACCCCTCCTTAGGTTTCCGAGGCAGTATCACTACAGAAGTAGATTGCCCAATCTTCTTTCCGAGGAGTGGCTTGTGGGTTTGAACTGCCAGCCTTCTGGTTAGCAGTCAAGTGCCTTAGCCACTACGCTACCAGAGCTCCCATACATATACATATACATATACATATACATATACATATACATATATATGGAGCTCTGGTAGCATAGTGGCTAAGGCATTTGACTGCTAACCAGAAGGCTGGCAGTTCAAACCCACAAGCCACTCCTCGGTAGGAAGATTGGGCAATCTACTTTACAGTTATACCACCTCGGAAACCCAAGGAGGGGTCGCTTTAAGTCGGATCTGACTCGACGGCAGTGAGTGAGTATATATAGATTTTTATTTTTTTCTTCTTTGGGAAAGAGAAAAGGTAAAAAGACAAAAAGTAGACTGGAATTTCCCTAAAATATTAGAGGCTTTTGGGGGATATGGTCAATGTCCACTAAAACATCTTTGAAAAAAGAAAAATCCTGGGCAGCTGACTAATTGTGGCACCTTTCAGATAGGGAGGGACTGGGTCCCGCTCTACCCTGGCATGAAATGCACTCAGGAGGAAGTGGATCGGAATATGCTGAGATACACACACACCAGGGCAGTGGACTCCCAGAACCAAGACAGCTTCTCCTTTTACCTGTGGGATGGTGACAACCGGTCACCAGCATTTGACTGCCACATCACCATCAAGGGCATGGGAAAAGGTAAACACGTGTTCTACCAAGGTTGATTAGTAACAACTTATGTAAATGGAAGTGAGCTAGTCTAAGCACTTAACAAATATTTTCTCCTTCTTTCCTTCATAATCCAGTCAATACCTCCACCCCTACCTGAGACCTATTTTGCCTGGGGTCAGTGAGGCTCATGAGAGTAGAAGAGCAATCCATTTGTTACTTTTGGTGTTTCAGAAAGCCTATTGGAAATGTGGTCTTGCCCATAATATGGATACACAGGTTACTTAACTGTCAGGTGTTTTTGCTTTAAATAAAATTATACCAAATCAATATGATAACTTTAATTTTATCTTTAGGAAGTAAATTGTTACTTGAAGTTTCACATGAAGAATATTTCCAATATAAGATGACAAGTAATGATAAAGGAAATAAAAATAAATGCTTTTTAAAATTTAAAAAACAATGAAAAGAACTTTGTCATTGAAAAGATTAGAAGCTACACTTTTCCACCTTGAAAGCATAATTTCCTTGGAGATGAGGGTGAACCTCTAAGATAACAAATTTCTCTTCAATTAATTGAGCAGCCCCATTTGCTTGATAGCATATAAGTGGTAGAAGGACAGTTTAACAAATACTAGAAATAATACTAGCAAGGAAGTGGGTGTAAGCCCTTAATGCTTAACTATCACTACTTCATAATTTTGCTTAGAGCCCATGTGAACAGGGTAAAGATCGTATCTCATTTATTTGTATAGTGTAGTGCCTAAGGCACTTTACTGCTAACCAGAAGGCTGGCGGTTCAAACCCACCAGCCACTCCTTGGAAAGAAGATTGGGCAATCTGCTTCTGTAGTGATAGCTCCTTGGAAACCCGAGGAATGGTCATATGAGTCAGATCCAACTCTACAGCAGTGAGTTTGGTTTTGGTAGGATTAAACATAGCCTTAGATCCTCAGCATACGCTTGTTGGGTGATTGACTGAACCTACGTCTTTTTTTGCCTTGCCTACCTGGGAACTCAGACCTAAATTGGATGCTCGAGTGCAATAAAACTCTTACTTCATGTGCATGGCAGAATTACAATTATCCTTATTTTTTAAAATTTAGGTCAACTAGTTTCATATTTTGATATTTATTTTTGACTGTATAAATATATATTATCTTTTTTCATGGCTGTAATAAGTATAATATGTATGCCTAAAGTCACTAAGACATAACTTTAGGATAAGTTTGATACTATTGTGTATATTCTACCACTCTGCAAAAATAAGACTGCTCATTATAAGTCCAGGCAAAATGTAATACAACTAATGTAGGGTAGACAACTAATGTATTAGAGTAAACTATCATCTTAATGACTTAGCACAAGGCAGTTTCCTGAGGGTGGGGGAGAGCTTTGTTTTTCTTTTTTTTCTTTTTGTTGTGGTGAAAACATCCACAAGACATTTGCCAACATAACCATTTCCACATTTACAGCTCAGGGACATTGATGATATTTTTTATGTCGTGCCACCATTATTGCTATCCTTTTCCAAGATATTCCACTACCATTAGTAAAAACTCAGTGCCCTATCTAGGAATTCAGTCTATCTAGGAATCCCCTCCCCCCACCAATCCCTGGTAACCAACACAGAAAGTTACTTACCTTCCCTGTATAAACCTTTCCTTGACTTTATATAATAGTGGACTAATACAATATGTGTTCTTCTGTGATTGACTTATCTCACTCAGCATAATGTCCTTCAAGTTCATCCATGTTATGTGGTGTTTTGCAGATACTCATAATATCGCACTGCGTGTATGTACCATTCTTCCATTGACGGGCACTTAGGTTGTTTCCATCTTTTACTATTGTGAGTAGTGCTGCAATGAACATGGGTGTGCAAATATCTGTTCTTGTCCTGGCTCTAACTTCTTTAGGATATATATACCTAGTCATGGGATTGCTGGATCAAATGGTATTTCTATTTCCATACCAATTTCTACAGTGGTTGTATCATTTTACAGTCCCATCAGCAGTTTATGAGAGTCCCAATCTCTCCACATCCTCATCAACACTTGTTATTTTTTTGTCTTGTTGAACTTTGCTTTTAATGCTACAGTGAAGTGATATCTCATTAGTGTTTTGATTTGCATCTGTCTAATGGCTAAAGATTGTGAACATTTCTTCATGTGTTTGTTGGCTGCCTGAATACCTTCTTTGCTGAAGTGCCTGTTCATGTCTTCTGCCTATTTTTTAACTGGAGTTCTGGTGGCATAGTGCCTAAGGCATTTGACTGCTAACCAGAAGGCTGGTGGTTCAAACCCACCAGCCACTCCTCAGAAGAAAGATTGGGCAATCTACTTCCATGAGATGTCATTGTTGTTGTTATTATGTGTCATTAAGTCATCTCTGAATCATAGCGACCTTATGTACAACAGAACGAAACACTGCCTGGTCCTGTGCCAGCCTCACAGTCCCTCCTTTACCTGAGCCCATCACTGCAGCCACCGTGTCAATCCATCTTGTTGAGGACCTTCCCCTCTTTTGTTGACCCTCCACTTTACCAAGCATAACATCCTTCTCCAAAGAGTGGTCCCTTCTGACAATGTGACCAAAGTAGGTGAGATGAAGTCTGGTCATTCTCGCTTCCAAGGAGCATTCTGGCTGCACTTCTTCCAGGACAGATTTGTTAGTTCTTTTAGCAGTCCACAGTACTTTCAGCATTCTTCACCAACACCACAACTCAAGAGTATCAACTCTTCTTCGGTCTTCCTTTTTCATTGTCCAGTTCTCACATGCATATGAGGTGATTGAAAATACCATGGCTTGGGTTAGGTGCACCTTAGTCTTCAAGGAGATATCTTTGCTCTTCAGCACTTGAAAGAGGTCTTTTGCCACATATTTGCCCAATGCAATACGTCTTTTGATGTCTTTTTTTAAATTTATTTTTATTGTGATTTGGGTGAAAGTTTACAGAGCAAATTCACTTTCCATACAGCAGCTCACATTCACTGTTTCATGACCTTGACTACAATTTACGACAATGCAACAACTCCCCTCCCACTTCCTCCCCCTAGTTACCTCTTCCCTGTGTCCTTCCCTCCTATGTACTCCTGCCCCCCCAGCAGTCTCCCTGTGCATACACAGCCCTTCTATTCTCCTGTATTTGATCTCCAGGGAGTGTATCTACCTAATGTAAATGTGCAACTCATATGCCTGTCTTTTCTTTGGCTGGAAGCCACAGGAGTGGGTTCAATTCCAGACCTGAAAGGCAACTAGGGGGCATAATCTCAGTGGTTCCATCAGGCTCTATCAGACCAGCAAACCTGCCCCCCCCCCCTTTTTTTTTTAATGATTTTGAGTTTTTTTCCACATTTTTTCCCACTCTATTTAACATCTCATGCAGAGATCCCCCTCCAAGTGGTTGACAGTGGTAGCCAGGCACCATCTGGTTCTACTGGTCTCATAGTTGTATAGGCTGAGGATCACATGGTGTACCAGTCACTTGGACTAATTGTTTCCATGTGTCTTTGTTTTTCTTCATTCTTCTTTGCTTTGGGTGATGAGAGACTCATCATTGCATTTAGATGGCCACTTGTAAACTTTTAAGATCCCAGTCGTTATCCACCAAAGGAGGATGTGGAACAGTGTTTTTGTTTGGTATGTTATGCCAATTGAGCTTGATGTCCACTGCTACTATGGTCCTGAGGCCACAGTCCAACTACTCACTCCCTCTGGCTAGCTTGCTGTGGCCAAGAAGTGACTGTAACCTATTGCTATAGCTCTACCTATACCTAGGAATTCTTACAGAACATACAATACCCTTGTAGAAACATTATGTAGAAACATTACCAACCCTCTCCATAGTCATGGACACACTTTCTCCTACATAGACATACCTAATCCTTCAGCCTGTCCTCCCATCTATCCACTTGTAGATGAATGTTTGCCATCACTAACAACACAGTGCTGTATGTGTAGAAGGGTTCATCTTTGTTGTCTGTACCTCTTATGCACTTCTCTATGTCTTCCTCTTTCTCAATGCTACTGTGTTGATCACTCACATTTGGTATATTTCCCTTCTCGTCACCCAAATCAATACTTGTCTCCACCTAACAGTGTTCCCTCCCCTCCCCTCCCACCCCTGGTAACCAACAAAGATAATTTCCTTCCATATATAAACCATTCCTTGACTTTTTACAATAATGGACTAATACAACATTTGTCCTGCTGTGCTTGACTTATTTCACTCAGAATAATGTCCTCCAAGTTCATCCATGTTATGTGGTGTTTTGCTGATATGCTATTCTTTAGGATTGCATAGTATTCCATTGTGTGTATGTACCATAGTTTGTTATCCATTTTTCTATTGATGGACACCTAGGTTGTTTCCATCTTTTGGCTATTGTAAATAGTGCTGTCATGGGTGTGCATATATCTGTTCTTGTCCTGGCTCTCACTTCTTTAGGATTGTTGTTGTTGCTGTTAGGTGCTGTCGAGTCATAGCGACCTCAGGTACAGCAGAATGAAACACTACCTTGTCTTGTGCCAGCCCCACAATATTTGCTATACCTGAGCCAACATTGTCTTCACCATGTCAATCCATCTTTTTGAGGGCCATCCCCTTTTTCATTGTCCCTCCACTTTGCCAAGCATGATATCCTTCTCCAGGGAATGGTCCCTTCTTACAACATGACTGAAGTAGGTGAGATGAAGTCTGGCCATTCTCGCCTCCAAGGAGCATTCCGGCTGCACTTCTTCCAGGACAGATTTGTTAGTTCTTTTAGCAGTACATGGTACTTTCAGCATTCTTCACCCACACCACAACTCAAAAGCATCGACACTTTGGTCTTCCTTTTTCATTGTCCAGTTCTCACATGCATATGAGGCGATTGAAAATACTATGGCTTGTGTCAAGCACACCTTAGTCTTCAAGGAAATATCTTTGCTCTTCAGCACTTGAAAGAGGTCCTTTACAGGAGATTTGCCCAATGCTATACATCTGGCATCATGACTCCTGCTTCCATTGGTATTGATTGTAGAACCATG